TTTTGGTGTCGATCATTCGATTTCATCCTGGACACTACAGAAAATGGGCTTAAAGTGTAAAAAACCGAACTTCTCCTTTTAACTGTTTTCTGGAGTATCACACTAAAGGGGTTTGAACATCTTTCCACCTTAAAGCCATGCAAGGTGTTGAGCCATTTTTTTATTTCTAAATTGTAGGTAAATTCATAATATTCTGTGGTTGTAAACTGGCAACATGAAAACAGGAAAAACTGTCATTCTTACATGCTCTTGGTAAGAAAACATTGAACCTGTTTATATTGGAACTGTTAAAAAAGACTAGATTAAAAGTTTACCTTTTGCCAAACTTGATTTTCTTCCTATCTTTCAGTGTGAGAAATTGCCACCTGACAAAAGAGTCGTAGAATGGGTTCACATCAGTGGTGATGAAAGAACGCCTCCAATCCACCTGTAAAAAATTCCAGCACAGACTGAAAATTTAGTTTTTTTCCTTTTATAAAAACTCCCAAGAAGTATTTCCAATGACACAATGAAAAAAAATTTATGTGAGGATAAATAAAGAAGAAAAACTGTTGCAAGCAATAGTTTTGTACGCTAAATCACCTTGACTCCCATCTGTTTGAGGTCTTTGATTGCCAAAGGAGGGAAGTACTCCAGCCAGTGTTCTGCATTTGCAAATTTAGCAATTTCCTGGTCATTTAGACCTAAAGACCTCATGATGTCCCATTGGAAGGTGGAGGATCCAGCTTTGGCCACTGCTTTACTCTGACAAGGAAAGAAGTGGAAGAAAACAGCTTAAGAAAAATAATTGTTTTTTTTTCCTGTTTACAAGACAAGGCTATTGCTTTTTTCTCCTATTTCAAATCTGAAACAGAAATAATATCACTTATTTTTCATCAAGAAATATTTCATTCTTTATTTTAATCTAATTTTCATTCATTAGATCATGAAATTATTTCATCCCAACCTTCTTTCCCTTTGCTTTGTCCTTGATGATGATTTCATCAGAGGCTTTGGGTTTCTCCTTTTCCTCTTCATCCTCATCTGGAAACTGGGGAGGGTTTCCATACAGCTCCATCTCTCTCTTAAGCTTGTCAGCACAAGCCTGATGACGAAAAATCAATTTAAGAACGACAAGTGAGAAATTGCTTATGACCCGTTTTAAGCAAAGTTTATCATAGAAATGAACATCACATCAATAATTAATGATCAATTTGATAATAAAAGATAAAGCAGATATGATAATATGATGCCACCACAGAGTTTTTTATTTTTGTTTGTTTTTTTATTTTTATCAAAAAGTAGTGTTTAGCAGCTGTATAGACTTTGATGCCAGTTATTCAGTTGCACATTGATGGTATTTTTTAAGTTTTATTTTATAAAAGTTTTCTTCTGAGATATGAGGTTAATATGATTTAAGAAATGTAGTAGCTTCCATTCAACTGTGAAACATTATAGAGATTAAAGGGAGCCTAAATAAGTTTCCTTTTTAAGCTATCTACAGGAAAAGGATGAAATAGCCTTTGAAACTTTAAATCCAAAGGCAAACAAATTAGTTTTCATCAGTAATTGAGTTCTTTATCAGTTTGCCTGGCATTCCTTCGAAAATGTCAATCACTGAGACAAATTTATACTCATCAAGCAGAGTTATCATGTAGAGTTTTCTTAATGTAAGACAGGTTGACCTGGGAAGAGCATCCATCCTTCTCAACTTCCATTTTTCAAATTCAATTAAAAAGAGGCCTGAGGTTATTAGAACATCAATTCTAATTGAACTGCTCTCTGAAAACAGAAATCAAATAACAAACAGATGGAGTCTAAATATACGGTCAGATAAGTTTGATTCCAAACACTTTGTGTGACCCACTGGGCTTTACAAGACATGCAAGTTCTGGACACATCAAACTTTGAAATTAACATCAAACTTGACAACTATACTGATAAACCATTTTTTAAGATTTTTGGAACAAATGTATCTTTTTTTTTAATTATCCAATGATGAAGTGTTTCATCAATGAGAACTATTTAGAAAAATGTATTAACACTAGAGAAAATCTATTCTGCAGTATATAATTTTCATGCATCTTTGAGACAGACATATATATATATATATATAAAAAGGGCATAAAATAGAAAAAAATCTGTTAAAAGAAAACTGATAACTCTGTGTCCTATTTCAATCTAGCATTCTGTAGAAAAAAAACTAATTCAAGAGGCAATCTATGACAGGTTTAGATTATACTTGTAAAAATGCGTTATGCATTTTCATGGCCGTAGATAAAAAAAAAAAGACTTTCTGTACTTTATGTTGTTTTTTTTTTTTATTATTTATTTAGTAATTTTTATTTTAAAGAAAGCACTTAAACTTATTAGATCAGGAAAAGGAAATCTTGTTTAAAAATTTACTCAAATTTTGTGGTAGGAGTAGGGAAAAGAAAAGGAAGACATTAACCTTGATCGGCATGCCTGTGCAGTGCAGTCCAAAAGGGAAGAGGCATTTTTTCCCCTTCAGAGACTGGTAGCCAACAGCGAACTGCAGAAACAAATTAGAGGAAGAAAATTGCATAAAAAGATCTTTGGTAAATTATTAGTAACGTTTTAAGTCATTTAAGATACAGAGTTTAAACAGCATATAATAGTTTTGTAATATGATACATAATTCCAACAAACAGCAAACACCAAATTATATATGTTTTTAGGACAGCCCATCTCCATGAATGGCATTAATTTTAATTTAATACTTCTCCATTTGAAACAAAATTGAACTCAGGACAAATATTTGTTTAAACATTATAATTGAAGTGATTTTTCCCTTCTATGTCGCAACTTTGAATTTAGGACTATTAAGAAAGACTTAAACATTTTCTCAAAGGGAAATTTGTTTGCACATGTCTACTAAAGACAAAGCATAATAAAATATGAGTGTATAAGGTGGAGGTCCTTTATTTTAAAGACAGCAACATTTGCAACGTATTTACAAACATTCCTGTTTATCCAATTAAAGTCTCTCTGAGCCAGCCAAATGACAATAGATTAAATTGTTATAAACCACAGTAATAGCAGAGAGAATGTGGTAAATCATAGCTGGTTGGAATCAACACCAAGATCTAGATCATGGTCAACTTTTTTCTACTGAAAAGTTCAGAAACGTCAAATTTTTTTTTCTGCCTAGGTATATACATGAGAAGAGTAAATAAAACTGATTTCACCTTCGAAATTCCAACTTACCTCACACTTTGACAGGCTGAAAGTATGGCCAAGATGCAATCGACCATTCATGTATGGATACGGGAAAGTGACAAAGTACTTGTTTCTGCTGAAAAGAAACCAATATGGCATAACTATGTAGTAGTACGCATCTGATATTCAATGCAATCATCCAGAGTAGGCTTTTCAAACTTTTGATATTATGAGTATGTGTTTGTTTGTGATCCACTCTTAAGTGTTTATTAAAATACTGGGTGTTACATCCCTATAATAATAGCTTTTTTGCAGTTTAAGGATGCAGTTATGAAAAATAGCGTAAATGTTTCTCTTAGTGAAATAGAAGGGGCGAAGTGTTGAAGTTGGGATTTAATACCAGCTGATTTTTTTATTTTTTTTCTATCCGCAAATTAATTTCCCAATTAATGCCTAAGAACTTAGAAGATGTAGATTAAAATATATATTGAAACTAATATGTATAAAATTCAAGATATAGTACCAAAAGCTCATTTTAAATAGAAATTTAAGCAGAAATACTTATTTACCCTCACTAGAGGCGAGTAAATTTCAAATAAATAAAATATATTCTGTATTTCCATTTAAACTGTTTTACTTTTTGTTTGTTTGGGTGAAAAATAATTACAAGAAATGTCATTTTTTTTTAAATAATAAAAAAAAAAATTATTCATAAAGATTTATACAATAACGGACATGCTATTCATTGGCTATAGTTAGCTTTAGTCCAAATTAAATTGTTGTGTTTTTACAAACTAGATTATTTTCCCATCTCTATTTTAATTTCAACTATATGGTTAAAAAAAGGAAATAAAATTAAGGGACGATTACAAAAGAATAAACTAACATTTAGTCAAATGTATAAATGACAGGAAATTGCACAAGGACTTTTACAGATGACATAAGATATAAACAAGAACAATACTGGGGGAAAAAAAGCTAATACGGTTTTTGATTTTCAAAAACAATTCTGGGAAATTATTACAAATGTTACCTTAGAAAAACTTCATATGTAAGGTCTCACATGGATATATTATGTTGGTATACTTTTAGTTTGTTTTTTCCCTGTCATTTGGTAACAAAACAATAAAATAAAAACATTGTTTAAACTATTGGTTAAGAAACCTTTCCTAACATACCAACTATATGATTTTTATTGTATTTCCTGTGGGTAAATCCGGGACTTCCACCTCTGGAGGAATGAAAATATAATAACATTTGTATTATATCTGTCACAATAAAATAAAAACTTAAGGAAAATGTTCTAACATTCAGCTTATAGTATAAAACATATCAGATTGTATTTACCAGTTACACCTGAAGAGGAATTTTAAGGTGAACTAAATGATAATAGCGGCTGCTACTCACTTTGAAGTTTCTCCAACGGTTGAAGGTGCATCGTTCTCAAACACTTTCTCCTTCTCCCATTTTTCCTGGATTTCTAATTCAATCCTTCTCAAGTAGTCCAACTTGGCTGTTCCTTTTCGTTCCTTGGAAAGAAATTTAAGCAAGAATTTGAGTAAAAATAAAATATGAATTCAACATTTTTAAGAAAGAGGAAAAATTACGCCAATAATGTTATGTTAACGAAAGGAAATTTGTCACATTTTTGGTGTATCAGACGAATTTTGTGCAGCTGAATCGAGAGCTCGTGCTAGCTTAAGTAGCTTATGGTTAGAGATGGAAAAAAGTATTAATCTATTTAAAAGTATAAAAACATTATCAAGTGTGGTAAACCTATGTTTGTCACCTACCGTCATTTTGCAAAGATGCGTTGGGAATGTGCTTTTCTGTTCTTTAAAAAGGGGAAAATAAAAGAAATGTTCAAGTGAGAAGAGAAACCCACGCCACCGGTGTCTAGATGATGACACTCATCGACTTCCCGCGAAGCTTCCTGGGAAATGTGGTCCCCACCGCATTTTAGTTATTTACATTATAAAATACCAAATTATCAACTGTCTTGATTCAAAATAATGTTTTAGTAATATTTCTGTATTTCAATATAAAAATCTGCTTGTTATAATAATTTTTCGTGGCTTGGAAATAATATTTTGTTTGGGATATTATGACGTGCCTCGAGGCTGCTTTACGACAGCTCGACTCATGTCGAAAAGCCGTAAAACGGTGCGTACGACCTGCCAGAAGAGAAGACAGAAGGCCTTAAAGCTTACAAAAGTGTAGACGATGAAACTAGGATTGACAAGGCATACTTTATATTTATAGGCAGTATTAAAGTCCTTTTCACGATGATAATAGAAAATGTGGATGCCTTGAAGTCGTGGCTTGCTAAACTTCTGGAGCCGATGTGAGTACTCGATTGAAATTACATTTAGCTGCTATGCTACATTAGCTAGCGAGCCTGGCCAGAGCATCAGTGAAGCCGAGCTGTAATCAGGCCTTTGGAGGAAGAGAACAGCTATAATCCTGTTTACTTCGCGCATGAAATGCTTTAATAACGTGCCTTACTTGAGCTTTTTACTGTTTGTCTTACTACTGTTCTAGGATAGTTGGATGTTTTACTACTAGGAGCATAAACTGCAACTTTAAGAGGACTGTGGGATATTGATGAGCTGTGAGATATACTATAACTTGTAGTTATTACTTCTTCTTGAGTTGCTACACTCGATGTGCGTAGCTGGGGGTCGCTTTTAGTCAGTAGCTCGTTTTTTAGTTACTATAGTTACCCACTCTGGCATTTAATTTAACTCGTATGTACGTCGATTTATTAGATTGATCAAGAGACATGAATCAAGTTGGCCTCTCGATATACCACAGGTAGTCTTTCTTATGTTCTTTAAATGTAAATGAGGATTCTAAAGGTTTTAAATGAAACTTAACTCGGCAAATAGGGGGAAAAAGTTAATGGAAGGTAGGATTACCAATAATTGTAATTTAACTTTCAATCCGTTGGATTCATTCACTTCTACATTTAGTTTTATGGTGTATGGTTGTTTGTTTTAAGGGATCAAGGGATCTGTTTTTTTCTCACACACAAAAATTGCAGTTGAGCTATTTTAAAACAGAAAAATGTTATTTTGAAAAGTGTTTTTAAGAAAACTGCAGCTTTTTCTGCTTCGTGTTTATGTAGGTCAATAGCATAACAGGTATGACCAAGATGAGCTGATCAACCGGCAATACTAAAGCAGTCTGTTAATTTTTCATCATCACTATGTCCACAGCCGGCTATATATCTTTTATAAACAGTCATATACAAGGTAAAAGGTTTGAACATAGGGCGGGACAGTATGGCTAAAAAAAAAAATAATAATAATAAAAAAAAA